GCTGTGACCTTTTGGAAGCAGACCACTCAACTTTTCTTCCAAGGTGCCTCTGGATGGATTTGAACTGCTAATCTTTCAGTTAGTAGCCAAGCACTTAACTGTGTGTGTCATGCAAGACTCCTACAGTTCAATTAGTGACCAATTATTGTCTCCCAGTCTAGATTATTTTGAATCAGGCAATCATATAATCTACTACATTGGGAATGACAAATTGAAGAGGAATAGCATCACATTCATTGTCAAAATCAAGATCTAAAGTACAACGCTGTTAGTGATAGAACAATATCCATATGCCTACAAGGAAAACCAGTTAATAGATTAGGACTATTATTCAAATGTATGCACCAACCAAAAATAAAGAAATTGAACATTTTTTTTTTTACCAACTTTTGCAGTCTGAAATTGATCAAACATGCAATCAAGATGCACTGATAATTACTGATAAGTAGAACGCCAAAGTTGGAAACAAAAAAGGATAACAACAACAACAACAACAGTTGGAAAATATGGCCTTGGTGATAGAAATGATGCCAGAGATCACATAATAAAATTTTGCAAGACCAGCAACTTGTTCATTGCAAATACCTTTTCAGTAATATAAACTGTGACTGTACATGTGGATCTCACCATGTGGAATACACAGGAATCAAATGGACTATGGAAAGAGACCATGGAGAAGCTCAATATCATCAGTCAGAACAAACCAGAGGGTGACTGCAGAAAAGACCATCACTTGCTCATATGCAAGTTCAGGCTGAGGCTGAAGAAAATTAAAACAAGTCCATGAGAGCCAAAATACAATCTCGATTATACTCCACCTGAATTTAGAGACCATCTGAAGAATAGATTTGATGCATTGCAGCCCAATGGCCAAAGACCAGGCAAGTTGTGGGGTGACATCAAAGACATCTTATATGAAGGAAGGAAAAGGTCATTAAAAGACAGGAAAGAAAGAAAAAACAAAATTGGATGTCAGAAGAGACTCTGAAACTTGTTCTTGAAAGTAGAGTAAATCAAATGGAAGAAAAGATAAGGGAGCTAAACAGAACATTTCAAAGGGCAAAACAAAGTGTTATAATAAAATATGCAAAGACTTGGAGTTAGAAAACCAAAAGGGAAGAGTACGCTTATCATTTCTCAAGCTGAAGAAGAGAAGAAAAAATTCAAGTCTTAAGTTGCAATGTTGAAGGGTTCTATGGCCAAAATATTGAACAACTCAGGAAGCATTAAAAGAAGATGGAAGAAAAGACAGAGTCACTGTATCAAAAAGAATTGGTTGATGTTCAGCTGTTTCAACAGGTAGCATATGATCAAGAACCAATGGTATTAGAGAAATAAGTCCAAGCTGCACTGAAGGCATTGCTGAAAAACTAGTCTCCAGTAATTGATGGAATACTTTCTGAAATGATTCAAAAAACAAATACAATTCTGGAAGCACTCATTCGTCTGTTGTTGTGGTTAGGTCCTGTCGAGTTGTCTTCAACTCATAGTGAACAAAACACCACCTGGTCCCGCACCAGCTCCATGATCCTTGCTATACTTGAGCCCATCGCCATAGCCACTGTGTCAATCCATCTCGTTGAGGGCCTTCCTCACTTTCATCGACCCTCCACCTTACCAAACATGACTGCCTTCTCCAGGGAATGGTCCCTTTGACAAGATGAGACCAAAGTAGGTGAGACAAAGTCTGGCCATTCTCACTTCCAAGGAGCATTGTGAATGCACTTCCTCCAGGACAGATTTGTTAGATCTTTTAGCAGTCCATGGCACTTTTAGTATTCTTCACCAGCACCACAACTCAAAAGCAACAACTTTTCTTCAGTCTTCCTTATTAATTGTCCAGCTGTCACATGCATATAAGGTGATTGAAAAATACCATGGCTTGTGTCAGGCCATAAGGCTTGTGTCTCCTCAAGGAGACATCTCTGCTCTTCAGCACTTGAAAGAGCTCCTTTGCAGCCGATTTGCTCAGTGCTATACATCGTCTGATGTCTTAACTGCTGCTTCTTCCATTGGCATCAGTTGTAGAACCAAGCAGTGTGAAGTTTTTGACAACTTCAATCTTTTCTCCATTCATCATGATGCTGCTTATAAGTACAGTTGTGAGGATTTTTGTTTTATTTATATTGAGATGTAATCCATACACAGACTGTATTCTTCAATTTTCATCAGTAAGTGCTTCAAGTCATCCTCACTTTCAGCAAGCAAAGTTGTGTCATCAGAGTATCTCAGATTGTTAATGATTCTTCCTCCAATCCTGATGCCACCTCCTTCTTCATATAATCCGGCTTCTTGGGGTATTTGCTCAGCATACAGATTGAATAAGTATGGTGAAAAGATACAACCCTGACACACTCCCTTCCTGATTTTAAACCATGCAGTGTTCCCTTGTTCTGTTCTGTTCACTCATCTATGCCAAGAAATTTGGAAGACAATTGCCTGGCCAGTCAACTAGAAGTGATCCATCTTTGTGCCCATTTCAAAGAAAGGTGATCCAATAGACTGTAGAAATTATTGAATAATATGATTAATACCACATGTAAGAAAAATTTTGCTAAAGATAATTTTAAAATGGTTTCAGCAGTATATCAACAGGTAACTGCTAGAAATTCAAGCTAGATTCAGAGGAGGACTAGGGATATCATTGCTGATGTCAGATGGAGCCTGGCTGAAAGCAGAGAGTACCAGAAAGATGTTTACCTTTGTTTCATTGACAACACAAAGGCATTTGACTGTGTGGATCATAACAAATTATGGACAACATTGCAAGGAATGGGAATTCCAGAACCCTTGGTTATTCTCATGTAGAACCTGCACATAGACCAAGAGGCAATCATTCAAACAGAGCATAGGGATACTGTGTGGTTTAAAATCACAAAACATATGTGTCAAGGATGTATCTTTTCACCATACAATTGACGAGTATTCATCAATTCCTGGACAGAACAAGGGGATACTGCGTGGTTTAAAATCAGGACAGGAGTGTGTCAGGGTTGTATCCTTTCACCATACTTATTCAATCTGTATCCTGAACAACTAATCCAAGAAGCTGGACGATATGAAGAAGACCGTGGCATCAGGACTGAAGGAAGACTCATTAACAACCTATGATATGTACACAACACAACTTTCCTTGCTGAAAGTGAAGATGACTTGAAGCACTTACTGATGAAGATAAAAGACTTCAGTCTGCAGTGTCTATTACATGTCAACATAAAGAAAATGAAAATGTCACAACTGGACCAATAAGGAGCATCACAATAAATGGAAAAAAAGATTAAAGTTGTCAAGATTTCCTATTACTTGGTTCCACAATGAACACCAATGGAAGCAGCAGTCAAGACATCAGATGATGTATTGTATGGGAAAATCTACTGCAAAAGACCTCTTTCAAGTACTGAAGAGCAAAAATGTCTCCTTGAAGACTAGGGTAGACCCAAGCCATGGTATTTTCAGTAGGCTCATATGCATGTGAAAGCTGGACAATGAATAAGGAAGACCAAAGAAGAGTTGATGCTTTTGAGTTGTGATGTTGGCGGAGAATACTGAAAGTACCATGGACTGCCAAAAGAACTAACAAATCTGTTCTAGAAGAAGTACTGCTGGAATGCTCCTTGGAAGCAACAATGGCCAGGCTTTGTCTCACCTGCTTTGGTCATGTTGTCAGAAGGGACCATTCCCGGGAGAAGGATATCATGCTTGGTAAACTGGAGGGTCAACAAAAAAGGAGAAGGCCCTCAACGAGATGGATTGACACAGTGGCTGCAACGATGGGCTCGTGTGTGGCAAGTATTGTGAGTCTGGCATGGGACCATGCAGTGTTTTGTTCTGTTGTTTAGGGTCGCTGTGAGTCAGAGCCGGCTGGATGGCACTAACAAAACAACAACCCCCACAAGGGTGCCATATACTTTACTTACATTATTAGCAAGCTATGCAATCCCCTTGGTGGGCTATAGTCACCTCACATTTGTGTAGGCCCACCCAATCTTATGGGGGGAGCCACAAAGACCATTGCTAGAAGGGCCGTACCAAGCAATTCACTGCACCAGAGGTGGTACTGGGAAAAATCAATCAGTGGTTTGAGTGAGGGAGCAAATATAAACCAAAGGAGCAAGTGCATACACAAAATGTAGCATCCTCACTTTGTTACATTGTACAGTTTGTTGGGAGGGTTATAACTGCTGCTATTAGGCGTTGTCAAGTCAGTCTCACCTCATCGAGACCCTGTGTACAGCAGAACAAAACCATCCTCATAATCCTTGTTATGCGTGAGCCCATCATTTGCAGCCACTGTATCAATCCATGTCATTGAGGGTCTTTTCCTTTTTTGCTGACCCTCCACCTTACCCAGCATGATGTCCTCTAGGGACAGGTCCCTTCCAACAACCTGACCAAAGTATGAAGCATGGAGTCTGGCTATTGTTGCCTCTAAAGAACATTTTGGCTGTACTTCCTCCAGGACAGATCTGTTCATCCTTCTAGCAGTCCATGATACCTTCAGCACACTTTGCCAACACCACAATTCAAAAGCATCAATTCTTCAGCAGTCCTCTCTGTTGAAAAAAATCCAGTTGCCATGGAGTCAATTCTGATGCATGGTGACCCCACGTGTGTCAAAGTAGAACAGTGCTCCATAAGGTTTTCAATGGTTGATTTTTGGAAGTAGATTACCAGGCCTTTCGTCCGAGGCATCTGTAGGTGGAGTCAAACCACCAGCCTTTTGGTTTGTAGCGGAGTGCATTAACAGTTTATACCACCCACGTATATCTGTGAAAGCTCCTTTTGATTTTTATTAGTTGCTTTCATAAGGCATCTTATTCCCTACTCCTTTGCAAAGATATGATTTTTTTTTTTGCATATCTATTTAAACTATCTTTGTAAAAAATAAACTTTCATTTTTACCATATTTTCTGATGAATTTTATTCCTGGTAATGGTGAAATTCCTGAGTTTTCTTTTCTTAAAGAAGAAAAGTAATCTAATCTTTGCTTTTCTTTACAGATGCTCTGGAAAATGGATCCAATAAGGGTGACAGGTGAGCAGTATGCAATTTTATGCCATTAGTGCTTTTGAGTGGTGGCACTTTCAACTTACTCTGGAATGAATCTGATCGTTTTCTTACTGTTGTACTTAAATCCAGTGCAGCTAAGAGAAAGGGACCAAGCAAGGACGACACGTACTGGAAGGAGATCAATGCAGCCATGGCCTTGACGAATCTTGCGCAGGGAAAAGACAAGCTGCAGGGCACGGCCAGCTGCATCATCCAGAAGTCGTCTCATATAGCAGAAATAAAGACAGTCAAAGTGCCGCTTGTGCAGCCGTTCTAGAAGCTTGTGGCTTTTCAGATCCAGTGGATGTTCTTCACGTCAGCATTTTTTTTCCACCCATTCTCATCCTAAGAGCCGCAGGAAGAGTGGAAATGCCTCTTTCCCAACAGGGTCAGAAGAGCAATTGTACTTTTCCCACCTTGTCTTTATTTTCAATTATCCTAAAAATATCATTTAGTTGCTTTTATAAAAGACATGTAACTTATATATATTAAAAAAAACCCTCATTTTAATCAAAAATATTAACTTATTTTATGTTACTCAAGCTATGCATCAAATGTCTGCATTGCCATTACAGTAAGTGCCTTGCTTCCCAAAAATAAGCTACAACGTGGGCATAGGGGAACCAGCTATGCCTCAAAATGACAACGCCATTATGCTTATTAGTCTGTGTGTATCATTCCAGATGGACCTAAGCATCCCAGGGCTGGAACCATAATTGCTGAAACCCCTTGCAGTATATTCAGTAATTTACATGTTAAAACTTGGAAATCTGTTCAGCCAAATGAAATATTCCTTTAAAAAAATTCTACAGTATTTTGAATAGTTCAATGGGCTTTTCAGAGTGACAGTGGGATTTTTATGCATGTTTCTTGCCTCCATATCTGATATGTTACAAACTTCCAAAATGAAAAGTACGGTGATCCACATAATGTATACATTTAAGAGGTAATATGTTCAAACTAATTAGAAATAACAATTAACAACACATTGTGATTGGAAACCATTTTTTCAAGCATTGCTAGAAAACACCATGGTGCCCTTTAGAATTCATTTGGATTTTCTTTTTCTTGAGTTTGGCCAAAGTTTTTTAAAAACATTCTTACATAAATAATCAAAATTTTCCTGTAAAGAATTGAACCTATAGTTTAGTTGTAAAATATAGTACTGTTTGCATTAGAGTCCAGTGTTTTTTTGAGATGGAAATTGTTTTTCATATGGAATAGCCAAACCTTTTTATTTGGTTCATTTCAAATTACAATTGCTGATGGACAATTTATATTGCAATGAGCACAAGATAATGAAAGAAATGTTATCTTGATGTGAATATACATATACACATATAAAGTTGATTTTTAAATTTAAAACACATGGAAATCAAAACATTGAACAGTCTCTGGGTTTTGCCAAATAGGACATTCAAGTAAAAATTAAGGGCAATCATACATTAAAAGAAAGAACATTTTATTCCTAAATTAAGCTACCATTGGGTGAGAATAATCAATATCAAGAAAGAGGAATCTTTTTTCAATCAAACAATAATATCCTAATCAGCTTGGGAAGAACTGAAACTTGAATAAACAATGGAGATACCAAATATAACAGTGTATGTGCTCCAGAAAACCGAAAAGGACTTGATTCTTCTATGGTGGAATTTTTTTTTTTTCTTCTGGAAATATAATCTATTTTGTAACTTTTTTTTTTAACTGGAAAACATTTTCTGTAAGAGTGTATGAAAGCCAATAGTGCAGCCATGTGGTGACATTTTTCCTTATTTTGCAAAATGCTTTTAAAACCAAAGGCTGCTTCAGTGATGTATGGACAGTATCAGTCTTGATATGAATTGTTAGATACTTTTTCATGTAACATAGCATTTGGGGATTGGGTTTATTTAGTATAATGAAGATAATTTGATATAAAAATATTTTTTTGTGTATATATTATATGTTTACTTTGTTTTCCAAACTGCTGTTTGCAATAACAGTAAGTCCAAAGCAAGATATGTACATTATGACTGTATGATCAGATGAAGTATGTGTTCTTTTGATCTAAATCCTGAAGTAGTTACAGATCCATGATAAATACTTTGGAATCTTAACAAATCAATTTTTGCCATAATGTGATTATTTCATTGAAAACTAAGGACAAGTACTTCACTCTTTTTCATACTATTATAAGTTATTCTGACATTAAGTATTTTAATAAATTGTTTTTGTTTTGTTTTGACATATTTCAGTGAGATGAATGAATCCTGGTTGTTGTTTATTTGAATTAGTCATGACTCCTCTTTGCCATCTTTTTTAAAAAAAGATTCAGCATGTGTTAAAAACTATGAAAGACAAACCAATATAGGACAGTAGCCACATTATTATTTTTTTTATTATTATTTTTAATACCAAAGTTTGGAGTTCAGCCCATAAACACATCAAGAAGATCTTACAATTAGCACACCCTTGGCAATATCTCCAGTTGCAATGACCTTTAATTTATTTTTTCTTTTGCTGCTTTAATGTTTTCTGGAAATTAAAATCCCCCCAATCCTTTCAAAGAATCTTGAACAGTGCTGAGCCAGCAGCTGAGAATCTAACTCATAATTTATGTTGTAGAGAAATAGAATTACCTCTCTTCTTTGTTTTGCCATATGTAATCATTTTAATAAAATTAATAACTGCCAGGAATCCTTGACAGATTTAAAATAAAAGTTAATTTCTAGACCTCAATGATCATATGAATTTTGTTTTCCTTTGAGTTAACCAGGTGGAGAAAGAAGTAGAACAGAAGGGTCCATTATATGTCGTAAATCTCTTTAGGTTGGTAAGGGATATGATATGGGAGCTCTGAGTTTGTATTAAGTTTGAATTTCATCACCTTAGACCACCAAGCCACCTTTTAAAAGCCAGGGAAAAAAGAATGTGATGCTGCCTATTAAAATATGTAAGTTTAAAATGAACTTTCCCACTAAATACCTTTTTTCACTTGTTCATACTATCAACATCATTACTTTGTGCTATGTAGTAGAAAGAAAATCTTGGCCTTGAAGCTAGACAGATCTAAATCCCAGCTCTGCCAATTACTTCTGTGAGATGCAGTCCTTCAGTCACTCTCAGCTTTAGTTTCTTCATATGCAAAGTGGGAGTAACGAGTTGTGCCTTGTACAGTTTGCTATAAGAGAGATAATATACAACATATAAAGTGCCTACCATAGCGCCTGGCAAAGGAGCTCTGGTGGCGCTGTGCCTAAAGCATTTGACTGCTGATCAGAAAGTTGGTGATTCAAAACCACAAGCCACTCCACAGAAGGAAGACAGGACAATCTGCTTCCATAAAGATTTACAGCCTCAGAAACTCAATAGGGGTCTCTGTGAGTCAGAATCAACTTGATGGTAGTGGGTTTGGTTTTGGTTTACGGTGGTGTAGTGCCTAGGGCATTTCACTGCTAACCAGAAGGTTGGTGGTTCAAACCCACCAGCTGCTCCATGGAAGGAAGACTGGGCAATTTGCTTCTGTAAAGATTTACCATCTCAGAAACCTAAAGGGGGGGTCACTATGAGTCAGAATCGACCTGATGGCAGTGAGTTTGTTTTTTTAGTTTTTGGCAGATAGTAGGTTTCCAGTAAATGGAAGATATTATCACTTAATTGTAATTCCTCTATTGAGGGTTTAGTATAAGAAAGTAGAAATATAAATGGAACTTAAGAAGTGGGTAAATTAACAGAAGAAAAAAAAAAGCCAGCTGCCTTTGAGTCTGTTTCAACTCATGGCAACCCAATGTGTGTCAGAATAGAACTGTACTCTGTACAATTCTCAGTGGCTGATTTTTTGGAAGTAGATCATTAGACCTTTCTTCCAAGGTGCCTCTGGGTGGATTTGACCCTCTGTTTGGTTAGTAGCTGAGCACCGAACATTTTTGCACCACCCAGAGACTCTGGATTAACAGAGTGCCTTGGAAAATGAAAGATGTCTGATACGAAAGGCTGCCAGAATAGAGTGAAAGTTGGTATCAGGGTAAGAGAGACACCTTCAAGGGAGATTGTCATTATTGCCTCTTTGAACTTCCTGGAGAAAAGCATAAAACAGCAGAAAGGTAAGGAAGAATGGACATGCCAATAAAAACCACAACTTGTACAATAGTTTCCTTCATTCAGATCAACTAAAACTGCTTTTCCCTCTATTTATCCTGCCTGATACTATTCAAGATGACTAAGAACTTAAACTGCTGTCTGTATTCACTGCCTGCTCCAAGAAACAATATTTAACAAACAGTGGCAACAGCCGTGGTCTGCTTTTAAAAGTATCCAGCTCAGTGGCATAACATCATGCAAATAAACAGAGAGAATAAGAACATGCAGGCCAGACTCTGTTCTGTCTGGGATGGCTTAGGTATGGTCATGCTTTGGAAAGTGGTGTGGGGTAATGGCAAGAACTTGGGCTAGTACATCCTGGCTTTGCCTTTTTGCTCTTTCATGACTTTGAGGAATAAGCTTAAGCCTTTATACCCCACTGTTTATATCTATAAAGTTAGCTCTATGAAATATTACCTCCTACGATGACTTGTGAAGATTAAAACAGACAGTAGATACAAAAGTGCTTTGTCAACTGCATTTGTTGTTTTTAGTTGCTGTAGTCAGCTCCAACTCATGCGACCCATGTGTACAGAGAACTGCTCCATAGAGTTTTCAAGGCTGTGACTTTTCAGAAGCAGATCACCAGGCCTTTCTTCCAAGGCACCTCTGAGTGAGTTTGAACTGCCAAACTTTCAGCTGGTAGTCAAGCATTAAATTGTTTGCACCACCCAGCATAATACTGTATAAATATTAGCAATGATTACTGTATTCCAAATGGCTCCTTATAGGCTAGAATTCCATACATTTTGGAAATATGAATTACTTAATATAGGACTCAGATTTCATGAAATGGAATTTTATAGTCTACCTTTTGGGGCTCTTTTGAGTACTAAGAGACCCTTGGTACTTGTGGTAGTTAAATTTGTATGTCAACTTGGCTGGGCCTGGTTGAGTGGCTGGGCAGCTGGTGGTAGTTATTCCCCATGATGAGACTGGCAATCAACTCCATGGTGG